TCTCTCTCTCTCTCTCTCTCTCTCTCTCTCTCTCTCTCTCTCTCTCTCAATTGATCACGATTGTAATGCATATTCCGCTCTTTGATCGCTGCTTTTGAAAACAGTACCACACAGCAAAAAAAAATGGATTTTTTATTTCGTTCATCGATTGAAATAATCGTGTTTTCATCGCAAATTGTTCAACGCAAAGCCATCAAAAAAGGGTTTCAACAGAAAAAAAAACATGCTTTTTAAATGTTAAAATCGCCATCATCGTTGATTTTAATAGCCAACACAGCTCATTATAAATATGCGGGCAATCCCATTTTTGTGGTGATTGGTCAATATTTGACGCCAATTTTTTATGGCGATTTTTTTTTCTCGCTTGCGCTAATCAAGTGGAAATGATTCACAGCCCAACATTTTGGACATGCAAAGTGCACATTTTTTTTTCCGACTGATTTCAATGGGGAATTCGCTTTTTTTATATAGAAAACTCAAACAGGACATTGCATTGATGGTAAAACAGCAACAATTTTAATACTATTTTTAATTGTAATTATTTTTTTCGGATTCCAATAAAACCATTATCATTGAGATATAAATCAATGGCCGGTAGCATTCTATCAAAGTTGAACCATATATGGGGAAAAATGTAATTTTTATGTCTCTTGACAGATAAATGGATTTGGTCGAACATGATTTTTTTTTATCATTTTCAAACTTTTCCATAGTGCACATAATCTATTCTTTAACCGATTCTAGGACAGAGTTGGCTACTATCTCGAATTTCGACGAACAGTACAAACTTGAAGTTTGAAACACATCAACACAACAGATTAAAATCTCCATTCTCCAATGAATTTGAAATTCATCGAATTTGTCCAATCAAATTGCAACAACGTTATCAAATTTGTCGGAAAAAAAGCCTGAAAAATAGAAAATATCAATTATTTCGCACATTTGAAAATTGAAACAGAATATTTCAATGATTCTATCACATTTTTGACGTATTAATATTCGGGTGTATGTTCAATGGATGGTCCAAATGTTCGATGTCATCGATATGTTCTCCAGCTGCTTGCATTCTGTATTGCGACACTTTAAGCCCGGCTCTCTATCGACATATGGCTTTAACAGGCGGCTTTTTTTGTTGTTGCTGCTGTTATTCGTCGTTCAACTTTTCCAAATGAATCGAGAGTGCATTTGGAATACAAACGACAGCCAGCAAATATTTGAAAATGACAGCAAACAGAAGTGGCATTAGCTATGTGATTGTAGCGACAATTTTCCAAATGAGAATCACACATCGAATATATTTTTCATTTTTGGCATAAGTCAAAGCATTTATCGTGCATTATTCACATGTGTTCCACGAACACACGGAAATAGAAAATGCCATGCACACAAAGGTGGATTACAATTATTGTGCGCTGTGTGATTAAAGTGAAAATCAGACGATTTTGCTTTTGTTTACACTCCCCCCATCCACTCTTTGTCGTTTGCATTGAATGCATAATGTAAAAGAGACTTGCGAACAAATGTGTTTCATCCCATTTGGTGCATCTTGCGTTTCTTTTTTTAATTCCATCCACTTTTTTTCATTCGAGAGAAGAACGATACGTGTTTTAATAAATGTAACGTTTTTGTAGCGACGCAAAGATTCAGAAATACTTCTCGTTTAGACTCAACTGAAAGGTTGCAGAATATCTCGAATTGAAGTGAAAGCGAGAGAAAGAGCGAAAGAGACAAAAAGAGACATGGGAAATGTCACAAAACTTTGTCTTTTTTAAATCAATTTGTCGACGAAAGATGTTTCGATTGAAAAAAACACTTTTCATTTTCGAGCAAAAAGAAATGAAAAACAATGCAACGTGTCTTTTGAAACTTGAGCAGGAACATCGCAAAATTGTGCGCACACAGACACACACACATGGGGCCAAAAGAAAACTCAAAGTTTTCCCAATTTTGCATGCTAAAACAATGCAATTTGTCACCAGTTTTGAGTAAAAGTTTTAGAAGGATAAACTGATTCGTTTTTTTTTTTCTCGGTTCAAATCAAACTCATTTCTCTGAACGAATCAAATTTATTAAATTTTTTCCCATTTTTAGACTCAGTTGTTCAAAAAAAAGAGTGTGCATCGTTTCCAGTTGTTGCTTGTTTCTTATTCACATCATGAATTGTACCATGTGCAATCCCATTTGATTTATTTCGAAAGAGAAAAAATTACCAATTCAATAAGATGTTTGATTCAAATGTTCAGAGTGTCCTTTGTATGATTCAACTAAATCCATCATTGTTATTTATTGAAATGAATTTTATGAAGAATAATAGTTTTCCATTGCCGATCGCATGGAATATTGCGAATGGATATTATCATCATGACTTTTTCAAACTATGAATATAAATGCCACTAATTGCGAATATTCGAATAAACGATTAAAAATGTAAAACAATGAACTAATCAAACGTTATATTTGCGAAAGTGTTCATAAAATTCTCAACACATACCGAGCGAGACTGAACGAGAGAGAGAGAGAGAGAGAGAGTGACGAACTGAGAGGGCAGGGAAGAGAGTGGAAGTAAAAGAGAGAAAATGAGGCAAAGAGAGAAAGAGAGGCAAATAGATACACACACACACATATCGAACCGAGTCAAAGCGCAGCAACTAGAGCAGCAAACTATACGTGATAAAAAGCGGCAGCGAATAGAACCGAAGTGAATCAAGTGTTGAAATTATTAAAATGTTCATTGTGTGTGTGTGAGCCTTTGTTATTAACTGACTAATGGCATTGAATATGAGAGGGTTTTTCGCCGGCTGGCAATTTTAATTACAACGGCTGGAAGCGAACGAAACGATACGATGTGAGCCTGGGCTCGTCGTATAAAAAGCAATATATATGCCGAGTAAATCTCAATATAAGTGGTGTGTATGGTGTCAGGTGTCGGATGGTTGGGTGTCAGGCAAAAACTTTGCCTGATTCTTGAAATAATTTCGGTTGGTGAACGTAGAACGAGAGTTGAGAGTGTAAGAGAGCGAGCGCAGCGAGCGAGAGGGAAAAACAATCTCCAATAAAATAGATGCCAAAGTTCAAAAGTTGATTTCATTAACATGCAAATTTTGCAGTGTGTCTGAGTTTTTGGATTATCGTTTGTTCGACGCAATGGCGATGAACATTTCTCCGGGAAATTGTTTTATTTGCCATTCTTTTTCCGATCTTGGCTTTTATTTTTAATTGAAAGTCATTCGTCGTTGGAATGCAACCCAGACATGTATTTTCTTTTCAATGTTCATGTTTTTATCGTTCTTTTGCATTCGATAATAATGAAAGGCTGGGGTGGGATGGGGTGGGGTGGGGTGGGGTGTTTGGTACACTGATCCTGTGTCGTCACACCACTTTACGCACCTTTTGGCTAGAAAGTAATTTGAAAACTTCGGAAATCGATTCAATTTCGGTCGAATCAAACGACTAGATAACGGAGAGAGAGAGAGACAGAGAAATTGTGTTCATAATGGTGTAATGTATCGGTGACCGATCGGAGGCAATCTCATTTTCATGATAGAGGTTTGCACGTTTCGGACAATGCCATTTATATATCGTGAATAATCAATGATATCATTGGTCCGTTTATGGAGTTATTGTGTGTGTATGTGTTTGTATGCGAATGGCATTTCACTGTGATTGTCGTTATCGTCTCGTCTCAACGACCTTTCATTCACCTTTTATTCAAATGTTCGCATCTCTTTCACACGATTTCTAGCTTTCTCTGTTTCTCACTCTTCCTTCCTCTCTGCTCCATTCTCCGTCCCTCGACTCTTTCTCCACCTCTCTCTCTCTCTCTCTCTCTCTCTCCCTCTCGTACTCATTTCAAATATTCGAACCGGATCAATTTGATCGGCGAAATATTTGGTCCGAGTGGAGCACATTCCGTAAGCGTAATTTTATCTGTTCATTAGTGTAGAGGTGCCTGCTGCGATGATATTCAGCTTACAAAGATAAAATCCGAGACACAGCCGAGAGAGAGAGAGAGAGTCATGGTGCATTTTTGACGGATTTAATGCGGTTTTCGGATGCACATAGTCAAAATGCCGAAAATTCCCTCAGCTCAAAGCTGCCCCATTCGTTGGCTATAAATTCAAATTTTGTGTGCAATATGTGCAATGGAATGATGCCATGAAATTGAGATGGCTGTGCACCTTTGAAAGAAAATATGCAATCTGCTGCTGCTGCTGCCGTTTGCTGCTGTGTGCATCATGCGGGCCCAATGAAAAATGTGCTACATAAAGCTTTGACAATGGATAAGCCAATATTTATTGATAGGGTAAACATAAACAACATAACCATTGTTTGGCATTTACCGGAGATTTCTGAGAGGCCATTGGGATGATTCCTTCTCTCTTACATTCGTCTACCACCAGTGTTTCAAAATATCTGTGGTGGCCATGGTTTTTGTGCCATAGATCGAAGTCTTAAACCGCACGCTGTTGATTGTGGTTTTCGGATGAATGGCAAAGAGGCATTAGTTCCAGCGATTCGGTTTTTTTATTTATCCAGACAACGTTGTGTGCTTTTTCTTTTCGTTTAAAAACGAAACACACAAAAACGTTGATACGTTTAACGAATGAAAGAAAAAAGATTTTTTTCTTTGGCAAAGAAAACGATCGAAAAGAGGGTAAGAGAAATAGCAGAAAAACGATGTGCCAAAGAAAATCGGTAATTTTTCTGGGACAACACAGTTTCGCCCAAACTGTGCAAGAATTTCAATCAGCCCATAGATGAAAGAAACTTGCAAGTCACAACTTTGTTTCTTTTTTCTTCGCCATCCTTTGGTCAGAAGCACCAAATGTCAAATGGTTTTACCTCTTTTTTTCTGGTCTGTGTGCTTCTAGACACATGAAATGTGTGCCTTGTCCAAAGCACGATGACTGATCACTTTTCTAATTTTTTTTAAACTTTTGCTGAAATTTTTATTAATATCGGTTTTTTTCCCTCTCTCTAACTTTTTTTCATTGCAGCACAACAACGGCCGCGAATAGTGGAACATCCTTCAGATGCGCTAGCAACACGAGATGAACCATTAACGCTCAACTGTAAAGGTATGAAATAAGCGATGAATGAGTAAAATCATCCATTAACTCGATCGAATTAAGATTATCGAATTGTTTGTCATAAAGGAACGTTAACGTCTGTGTAAAGGACACAGAACGAATACCACTGAAATAAGAAAGAAAATAATTTTTCATAATAAAACACATGAGAAAGTGATCTAATTAATAATAAATCCAATAGTTTTTCTTTTTCCCGTAATAAAATTGCTAAAAATAAGTCGATTTTTGCGATTTCTTTTTTTTTCAGCCGCGGGAAGACCTACGCCTGAAATACAATGGTACCACAATGGCACACCGTTGGTGCCGTCCGAAAGACGAGTCGTTCTGCCCGAAGGTTCACTCTTTTTTCTCAGGTAAATCCATCGTTCGCTTTTATTTCGCTTTTGGAACGAAAGCTTCTTTTTTTCTTGTGTTTTTTTTTCGTCGACGAAAAGGTCAAAGTCAGAATCAGTCTGTCGCTGTGCCTGAAAGCAAATAATATTTCACCACAAATTATACTTGAAATAAATAAGCACACATACACACGCTTTTTCTGCGAACCGCATATTATTTATGACAAGAAAAGCGGTCGGTTTGTTCGTTGTGCGTTTTTGACTTTTGGTGTACTGTTTTTGATTTTCGGTCTCGATTACAAGGCGTTTTCACTGGCTTTTATCTTGGCAGCTATTTTTCATTTCAACATGAAACATTCACACACCGAACACGATACATACCGCCAGTAACTCAACGACTTGCTACTGAGGCGTTGTCTCTCACTCTCCTTCTCACTCCCCATCAACACATCGTAATAATGACCATATTTTATGAGCCACAGTTATACAAATGAGACTTGGGTTTTTCGGTTGTTGTCTATTTCTTCATTCACATTTGTCTGCCTTATTATCAGCTCATTTCAGCACCTTTTTATCGAGCCAGTGCCGCCTAAATATTTGATGAAAACAGACATATTTGCCAGCCAGTGTAGACACACGTATATTATTTCATTTGCCAAATGAATTACACATTTTGCGCTGCAGAATAATCTTTTCTCACTTAAGCAACGAGACGGCAGCCGACGAGACTTATCTATAGTGCGCGAACCTAAATACAAAACGATGGCCAAAAAAATATGGTCGCATATGAGCGTAAGCATATATAGAAAATCAACAGACACTCATTAATCATATTATTTTTATGTGGAGAGCGAGAGAGATATAACCCCACTATGCGGCATAGGAAGAACAACAGAGATAGAAAGAGCACCGGTGCCAACTATTAATTCGCCAAAGAAATCAGTCATAATTGCAAAACAAAGACCATTTCAGCGCATTTTCGACGAAGTAGCGGTAAACTCATAAAGAAATCGAATCTATATTTTTAGCTTTCGAGCAAGAAGAACGCAGAGAATTTCGCCAGGAATTCTCGGAATTCATTTCATTTCATTAGTTTGCGAATTATTTTCCGTTGAAGCAACGAACGATGTGGTGGCCACCTGAACGTATTGGAAAAATTTGGAAACATTATTGCAAGAGCGTAAGATCGAAAAAGCGACGGGTTATGGAAGCGAGAGAGTCAAGGGGAGACGGGTTGACGGAATGAAGGATTGAGAGAGCGAAGGAAAGTTCGAAAGAAGAGAGAGCGAGGTGAAAAACCAAATCTGAGCTAAAGAACGAATAGTGAGAGGTGAAAGAACAGTGAAAGCGAAAGAGAAATGGCAAAACCGAACGAAGGAGACAAACATGTCTGTTCTCGGCATTGAACAAAATTGCACATCATTTGATAAATGAAGTCGATCATGAGATGCATACGAAAGATAGCGTCGGAAAATTTGTTTGGCTGCAAAACCCGTTTCAAAAATGAATTCGTTTTTCTTTCTCTTTCTGTCGCTCTCCCGGTCTTTCTCTAAAAAAAGTGTTCTTTTCCTCGCGCTCTCTCTTCCTCACTAACTCCCTTTTGCTCTATCTCTATCTCACAATTTCAGCCAGCGATCGAAACTTTGGATCGCAAAGTAAATATATTCATTACAGCTTATGCAAATATTGCTTCAAGTAATTTGCCCCACTTTTTCTATCCACCATCATCATCACTTGAACGGTTGTGTTTTTTTCTCGTTCGCCCTCAATACCACACACCGCCATCCTTTGGGCACTTGTCCATACGGCTTCCTTTCGGGCACTTCGAGTTTAAGTGCCATAAAGTTTTTCTTTGCACAAAAGACGAATAAAAACAATTTTATATGACCGTATAAATTGTCCGGTTCTTGGACAAAATTGTCCGTCAATTGTATTTTCAAACAGATTTTATGCAATCACCAAAGACATTTGGGTCACTCAAGTAATCAATATATTTGTATTGTTGCTGTGCGGGTTCTAAAAATTTTCTCTTGTCGCATCGGCTGAAACGCAGTAAAAGTTTTTCGGCTTCGTTTTTTTCGCTCTCTCTCTCTCTCTCTCTCTCTCTCTCTCTCTCTCTCTCTCTCTCACTCTCTCTCTCTCTCTCTCTCTCTCATCGTCCATTCGGTTCGCCACCGCAAAACTAAAGCTTAAGCTTGAGCTTGCTATAGTTGATGTAGGTATTTTCAGATAATCCCTGAATAAGCATAATATTTTGAAGTTTTGCACCAAAACAATAGCATCGAGAAACCAACAGCCATTTATTATGCGATTGCTTGGCCATTGTTCCAAAGTAAAAAAAAAATATCTTCGATGTGTGTGTCTACTGTTTATGTATGTATATATATTCTTCGTCAGCAAAATATTGTGACGTGAATACAACAAAGCATTCAGCGACCAATCAATCAACAATATTATATATATTCGATGCAAAAATATACCGAAAAAAAAAGTCATTGTGTGACTGCAAACCGAATATATCGAAAACGGAAAAACCCAAATCCAACGAATGGAAAAACCAAAACTCATAACTTTGAAATTGAGCCCATTCTTTTTGTTTTTTCGCTTTGTCAAATGTATTTCGAGTGTAATTTGTGTACTTTTGGAGGGTGAGAGCGAAAAATGTTGTGAAATATTGTTGTTGTTTGAACAGCGGAAAAAAATATGAACAACAAGCGATTACTATCAAAAACCCTTTTGCTCGGGTGGTTTTTTCTCTCTCTCTCTTTCTCGCATAAAAGTCCATCGATTATCATGGCGAAGCGATTTGACTGTCGACTAGTTTCAAACATGCAAATATGTATTTTCATTTTCCACGCGTTCACACAAAATCTACATTTTCTTCGAAGAAATATGCGTTGTGCTGTGTTGCTGTTAACCTTTATTCATGTTTTTTTTTTCTTCTTCTTCTTTCTTTCTTTCAATTAGAGTGCTGCAAAATAAGCGGGAACAAGATTCGGGGGTGTATTGGTGTGAGGCGAAAAGTACAGCTGGCATTGCCGTTAGCCGAAATGCCACATTACAAATTGCCGGTAAGTTTTCGGATAGTTATACCATTGCAACAGCATGCCGTTTTAGTGGCGCACGTTACACTCGACTGGGTTCATGTAATGAATTCCATATTTTAAAATCGATCACACGAGAACGATAATTACAACTACATTTACATCGGCCGACCGTGTGAAGCCACCACCTTTTGTGCAATTTTATGAATTACTTTGCTGAATATTACTGTTGTGTGCTACCGCGGCGACGGAGCGGGCACTGACTGTAGTGTTTGTTTACTGATTTTTCGATGTTTTTCCGACAATTGCAACATTTCCAAACACTTGCAGGTGTCGTTTGGGGTTGGCGCGCACGAGACACCAACAAATTAAATTGACGTAGAAAGGTGCAATAACATGACATACGATGAATATGCCATTCGGAAATTTTTCCGACAAAAAAGAAGAAGAAGCAAAAAAAGGAGTAGTGAGTTGTGACATTCTGCACAATTTCCTTTCGACTTTTCTATGTGTCACTCTTGATTCATATCACTTTTCCACCGATTTCTTTTTAACGATTTTTCCCTTTTACACCGAAACACAGTGAAAAACCCCTAGAAACAACCATTTTCTCTCGCCAAACTTTTTCTTAGCCAACCCCATGAACATGTTTAGTGAAACAAAACGTTAGTGTTGGCTTCGAACGTTCGTTCGACCGTTCGACAATATAAAAAAAAATTGTTTTGTTCGTTCGTTCGTTCGAAAGTTTTGTAAAAAATTATTTTGTTCGTTCGTTCGTTCGAAAAGTTGAAAATTATTTTTTTTGCTCGTTCGTTCGTTCGAAATTTATGAAAAAAAAATTGTGTTCGTTCGTTCGTTCGGAAATTGCTATGTTCGACCGTTGGGATTTTTACATTTGAAATACATAGGAAGCAAATACAATTTTCATTTCTTTGGGTAAGACTGAAGGTACAACGTAATTACCGGTGTTATTACTGAGTAATACCACTGGTAATAATTATTATCGATCTTATTACCGATTAATAAGTAATTACTAAGATGATAGTTATTTCCGATTATTACTGTTAAGTACTTAATTAAACTTTGTACAGTCTGAGCGATATGTCTGAGCGATATGTCCGTACATTGTTTGGTTGGCACAACCGTTCTTAATACGTATATTAATATACGTTTTTCACGGATTTTACTATGAAAATATCAATTTTTGTTCGGAAGGTACCCCAAAAATACACTTTTTGGATGAGTTTCTTAGTACAAAGTTATTTTTTTCGAGAAATATTGAGAATCTACTCACACAGAAGCTCTTATAAATGATTTTTGGGGTACCTTTCGAACAAAAATTGATATTTTCATAGT